GAACCCCAGGTGGTCCTGGACTCTGACCCTTGCTCTGCTCCTTGAGCCTCAGTCCCCCCAGCTGAGACCGGAGTGTGCTAAGGACTTGAGAATTCCATGAAACTGCAAGTGCCTGACACATAGTTGGTGCCGAATCAATGTTTGTCAAGGAGTGGATCCTTCCGCTCCTGCCCCTGATGTCCAAGCCGAGGCCAGTCTGCCGGGTGCTCGGCTTTCTGAGCGCCCTTGCTGCTGCTGTTTGGAGTGTGTGCACTGTGGGCTCCAGACTCTTCTCTAAGCGTGGCTGAGTTCCGAGTTCGAGGTTCCCTCTCCTCACACAGAGCTGGCTTCAATACTTGGCATGAACCAGAATGTGAGCCTCCTGTCACATCTCCCAGAAGTGTCACCTGCATCCACTCACCCTACCTTCTGTCAGAACAGGAAACAGCCACAGGCATGTCATGCTTCTGCTCCAGAGCCGTTGCTGGAGTAAAGCATCCGCCCTGTCCAGGCCCTGAGATAGCAGCTCTCCCAACACCAGCCATATTCTTGGGTGTGCTCCATGCTTCCTTCTGTCAAAGGCTTTGTGCAGATGGTGGATGGAACCACCGAGAAGCCTCAGTTTCCCCATTTGTAAGACAGACAACATGAACCCCTTGAGAGTTGAGACTGATGGTATGGGGAGGCAATGAAGAACAGTACACACTGCCCTCTTTCCCATGCCTATTACAGATGAGAAACTGAGGCAGGCAGGGAGGGAGGGGGTCCAGGAAGTGGTCCAGATGTACAGCCCAGATGTGATGGAGGCAGGATTGCCATCCAGAGTTGTTTGCCTGCAGTGGGAACATCTGTTGCCTTGTCCCAGGTTTACTGTCCCTCGCCAGTGAGGCCCCACATGCCCTCTTGTCTATCCACTCTTCTGACCTACCACTGTCACATCTGGAACAATGGGATTCTTAGCCATCGCCTAGTTTATTACTGTCCTCCTCTGGAACTGAAGCCCTATAAAGGCACAGCCCCAGGATGTCTTTTTATTGTCTTTGCTATTGTGTTTTATGTTTTGAGACGGCGTCTCACTGTGTAGCCCAGAGTGATCTTGAACTAATGACCAACCTGACTTACTCCCCCAGGTACCAGGATGCCAGTCATGTCCCACTAGGCCTAGCTTCCATCCTGTCTTGTTCATGGATACCCTAGTATAGTGCAAGGACTGAGAGAAACTTCCAGAAGAGCCAGAAGGGCTCTCTGTGGGGGTATTAAAGAGCAAACTGAGGGGCTGCTGGTGGAGCACTGGCCTCGAGTATGTGGGCCTGGATTTTATACTGGGCACCACGAACAACACCACAACAAAGCAGGAGTTTCCGCCCATCATGATCTGTCTAATGAGGCCAGTTCCTTTCTCCCTGGAGACTCTACCCTCTGGGAGGGAAGGCTTTAATTGCACAGAGCTCCAGTCTCCTCCCTCCTCTAGAAACCCTGCCCACATGGCATGGCCAGCCTTATGACTTGAACAGGGGATGGAGTGGACTTCGTCTTAGACACTATGAGATTGTCTAAAAACCTCCCCAGTAATTGGCAACTGCCTAATCACTTGCTATAATTAGGAGAGCCTGGAGGCTCAGAGGCTCTGTTCTGAAGGCTCAGGAATCAGGAATCAGGAAGGGCTGACAGCAGCTGAACTCCAAGGAAGAATGGAAATCCAAGTCCCCTGGGAACATGTCCCTTCAAAGCATGTTCATAGTTCCTGAAAAGTACCACTTTCATTATTAACAGAGACCAGTTTTTTCCTGTTAAATTTTGTTTTATGTAAAACTAATGTACAATTCCCAACTGCACAGTCTGTGAGTTTTCAGTCCCCAAAGCCCCCTTGCAACCTCTCCCGGCCACTGTTCCCTTCCCAGGGGTGAGCATATTGATATTGAACATGGTAGATGGGGCTGGCAAGACAGCTCAAATAGTAAAGTGTTTGCACACAAGCATGAGGACCTAAGATCAATCCCTGGCACCCATTTAAAAACCCAGGTGTGTGGCGGTACATACTTATAATCCCAGGGCTCAGGAGGCAGAGTCAGGCAGATCCCTGGGGATGGATTGTCAGCCAGCCTAGCCTAAGCCCCAAGCCTCAGGTCCTAGTGAGAGACCCTGTTTCAAAAACCTGAGGAATGACACTGGAGGTTGATCTTTAGACCCTGATGAACATATGCACACATGAACACCCCCATATGCCACACAAACACAGAGACAATTGTTTGGGTCTTTGTTCTGGATTCTCACATTCAACGGCACCTGTAGCCTGGCAGGTGCCCTGAGTGCTGGGTCCCATAGTTGCTTGGGCCTTTCTGCAGAGGTCTCGCTAATGCTGTCAGGCACATTTGCAGGCCCAGTGTTGGCAGGTAATTTCGTCTTGTATGAGAAGCCGGAGCCTGTATTTTTTTTAATGGCGAGTCTTAGATTCTTGAGTGTGGCCAATGAAGAAACCTTGGCACACTGTGGTGCCAACTTCATCCAAGCCAAACCAAACATGTTTCTGGCCTGATTTGGACTGCAGGCTGCCAGCCTGGGGGATCTGGAGGGCCCCAGGCCCATCGGAAATAGGTCTGAAGATAAACATCATCATTTAGAGTAAGTCACTAACACTGGGGGGTTAGAGAGAGACAACCAATTGCCAGCAGGAGCGGAGGTTGACAGCACCACGAAGGACACACAGAATGAGACAGCAAGGCTGTTGCAGGCAGCGGGAACAGCTTGATGAATGTGCAGTCAGGGACCACAAAGGAGCTTGGTGTTGTCATGGCAGTGGAGATGTGAGCAGAAGCCAGTGGTGTTTGAACCTGTCCTTCAGGGCAAGCCAAGGTGAGATAGTGCTGGTCCCTCAGGCAGCAGGTGCAGAAGTGGGCTGGGGACAGGAGGCTTTCGGCAGGCCTTGGCTATGGCACTAGGCTGAACCCCCCCGCACCAACCCCTGTCTGTGGCCAAGGTCACTGCAGCTATGATTGTTACCTTTTCCTCTTTGAGGAGCAGAGTTTCACTATGTAGCCCAGGCTGCCCTGGTATTCATAATCCTCCTGCCTCAGCCTCTGGGGTGTGCCACCTTGCCTGGCTGCAGCTCTGCCATTATATGGTATGAAAATGTCCATTGTATCCAAGGGGCTTGCTTATGCATGGAGAGGCATTTCAGGAAGATAGACCAGACCTGAGAGGTAACTCCTCCAGCGGGTCTCTACCTCCCCTCCCTCTGGTGGAAGACTCAACAAGCACCAATCAGTTCTAACTTGAGATTTCCCTACGAGCCCCCTGTCAAACATCCTTACATCCTGTGCTCCACCCTGCTGGGATTGAACAAATCATGTTGGGTCTACTTTTCAAACCATCCCGAAAGGAACTGGTTGCAACTTCGTGGTACAGCATTTGCCTAGCAGACATGACCCGGGGTTTCATCCCAAGCGTTACCAAAACCAACCAAACAGAAATAAATCCAGGGCTTCCTTGGCCTTTGATCACTTATGTACCCCCAGCTGACCTCCCTGCCCCCACCTTTGTTCACTTTGCAGCCGGAGTGGTCTTCTCCTGACAGATTTGGTCCAGACCCTCTGCAGGACTCCACATGACTCAGTGAATGACCACACAGACCTCTGTGATCTCTCCCCCTCTCCTGTTCCCTTTCTGATCTTTGTTCAGGCTATGCTCCCTCCCCCCACCCCAGGGCCATACAGACTCCTGCCTTGGCTTCTGCACTGGTCATCCATTCCCCTGCTAGGAACTTCCTTCCCCTGGCAGAGAGCCTGGCGCTTCCTTCACTTCCTTCCAGGCTTTGCTCCAATGCCACCTTCCTATGAGACCTTCCTCCAAGCTCCACCCACAACAACCTCCTCGCCCTGCTCTTCACCCCTGCGCAGTCTGCACTGGTCTTGTTAATGTCACTCATGTCTCTCTTCTTCCCTGAGCTGAGCATACAGAGGCTGCTCAGCCAGCGAGAGGTTGGGTGCCTTAGACAGGACGTCACAACGGTTTGTGCTTCCTCTAGGGGTCACTTGAGAGAGTAGTCCCTGATACTTTTTCCTCTGGGCTCCCCTTGCTTTGAACCCTCCAGGACAGGGTTCCCAGCTTGAAAGGAACATGTCCTGCCACATGAACACTAACTGAATCTCAAGGCCAAAGAAATGTCATATCAGTGTATGTCCCAGGCCAGGATTTAAATGTGGATAGGCTCAGATTCACACTGGATGCCTGTTGAGGGCAGCTGAGTCCTTGTGGCTCTTCATCCACATTAACGAATACTGAAATGCACCATTGCAACCCACAAGTTCTTCCTCTTAAAATACTTGGAAACTCTTTGCTTGGTGCCAGGAAGGGGCTCTGAGAAATGAGTGCCCCGTTCCCCTGGCCAGTCTCATACCAGTTCCTACCAGAGATGTTGCCCACAATGCTTTTAGTCTCTCCTGCCCCCAGGCAGAGTGGCAGCAGCTGGCAGTGAGTGGGGTTCACCCACAGGAGTAAGGCAATTCGTAATCCGTTAACCTTGAATTCTGCAAAGCCTGCCACTCGGCAAGCTGGGGGTGGCTGGAGTCATTCTCGGCTTGGGCAGAATTCAAATTAGCTCCTGCAATCAATGTGCAATTAATGGTTGCACGCCCTGGGCATCTAGGCACTGTGCCCCATGCAGTGGGAAGAGTGAAGGGTGTAGCTTATCATCTTGAAGCAGAGGTGGAGATGGGGGTGCTCATAGATGAGCAATCCTAGTTTGCGAAAGCAATGCTAAAAAGGTCTGAGTTTCACCAACTCCTTGGCCCAGATATTACTAACCATGCCAGCGTTTACTGAGTGCCTACTGTGTGCCAGATGCCCTTCCCACCCTGGCTCTGGAGGACGTTCTTCCCTTTTTATATAGATACATTTTATATATTCCCTTTTTCTTTTAGATACAGAAATTGAGGGTTAGAGAGAGCAAATGTCTTGCTCAAAGTCACACAGCTGATCGAAGTCCTAGACTTACCTGACTTCAAAATCGGGAAGCTTGACCAACCCTGTCCAGCCAGCTTTAAGCATTCAGCATTCACAGAACCTTCAGGGCACCCCTTCCTGGTGACCACAACTTGCCATCCTTTTTGTGGTCTCTTGGGTCATGCTGTTTGTTCTGGATCTCTGGTGTGGATAGCCTGGGTGGGGAAGGCCTGTTTATCACATCCTACCTACACTTGGCCCCTTCTGCAGGTTGCCTGCTGCTCTGCAAGCTTTCTGTCCTCCTGGGTGGTAACAGCGAGCCTGTGGATGGGGATTGGTTTCAGACATCAAAGGTGACCAGGTGACAAGCTTTTCAAAGGCTGTGGCCCTGCATCCCCAGACCCTCCTAAACTCTGGGTGGGTCTTTCAGCCTTTGCAGAGAAGCAAAGGAGCACAGCCTGAATGTCCTGCCTTCCGTGTCCCTGTGGGGACCCACAGGCGCTGCCTTGTCACTCAGCTGGTGGGGCTATGGGTCTGGGTGAGAGGTCTTCCTTCTCCCGCCTTGAGTTTTGCGCCACATTCCCGTGGGCTGCTGTAGGAGCGCCTTGCCTGGGATCTCTCACTTGTCCCTCTCCACTCCTGCGCGGCTCTGTCCCCCGCCCGCGCCCAGCGTGGCGCGCCCCCTCTCTGAGCGCGGGCGGGCGCTGAACAGTGTCGCCGACCGCCTGCAGGTGTCTCCCCACGGAGGGGCGCGCGTCCCTGCGCCGTGGCCGCTGCCAGGCGCCAGCCGCTGCTCGCCGAGGCGCACTCGCGCTCCGGGCTCCGGACGCGCTGGTCCGCTCCACTCCGCAGCCCCGACCGCCCTGCGTCCCCGTCGTCCCGCGTCTCCGCCGGGGGCCATGGGCCCGCGCCGCGAGCGCCATCGCCGACCGCAGGCACCCGAACCCCGGGGCGGCCGCTGACGCGGGCGCCGCTGCCAACTTCGCACGGAGCTGCGGGCGGCGCGGGAGGCATGAAGACGAGCCGCCGCGGCCGAGCGCTCCTGGCCGTGGCCTTGAACCTGCTGGCGCTGCTCTTCGCCACTACCGCCTTCCTCACCACGCACTGGTGCCAGGGCACGCAGCGGGTGCCCAAGCCGGGCTGCGGCCAGGGCGGCGGCGCCAACTGCCCCAACTCGGGTGCCAACGCCACGGTCAACAGCACGGCTGCCCCCGCCGCTGCCGCGGCTAGCCCGGCCGGCGCGCCCTACAGCTGGGAGGCGGGCGACGAGCGCTTCCAGCTGCGCCGCTTCCACACCGGCATCTGGTACTCGTGTGAGGAGCAGCTCGGTGGCCCCGGTGAGTGCTGGCGCGGGGCTCCCCCGGGACGCGCGCCCGCAGGTCCCGGGCCGGGAGGTGGCGCGTTCGGGTCCTCCGCGCGCACCCTGGCTGCGGGTCCCAGGGCGCGCGGTCCCCCCCCCCCCCCCCGGCCTGAAGTAATTTCCCCGAGCGCCCCCTTCCTCGCTCCCATCCGCCCCGTCGCGGCCCTGGAGGTGACAGTGGGGGCCGGGGACCTTTACTGTGAGCGACCCCTCCCACCGCAGATCCACGGAGCCAGGAACCCAGGGGTTCCTCTACTCCTATCTCCAAGCCGCGCTGAACCTCTACGACAGGGCTGGGGAAAAGAGAGTAGGGGGAGCCTGATGGGCACCCCTATTGCCACAGGCCAGGGAGTCCTCGGTATCCTGGAGCTCTCCTGGGAGTGGATGCTGTGCGAGGGAAGGGAGGCAGGCGGGAAAACAGGGAACAGCTCTGGGCACTGGGGCTTAGGAATCCAGGAAGTCTTGGTTCAACACAAGGCTCCTTCAGAACTGGGGAGGGGGCTGGCTGTTCAGAAAGTATACCGAACCCCTTTGTCCCCCACACCCAAGCATCCAGGACTGAAGTGAATACCCCCAATACAGGCAGCAAGGCTCGAGTGCTCAGGGGACCTCTGCCTGTCAGGGGACTGTGCATATGGTGGGTGGTACTGGCCGTGGACTATTCCACAGCTCGTCTGCAGTAAGCTGCTGTTCTGGCAGGACCCCTTTGGAAGCACTGTCTCCGCTTTTGCTTAGTCTTACCTTCATCACACTCAGCATAGCCTGAAATTTCCCGGACCTGTCTTTAGTTACTAGCATATTGTCCCCATTCCCCTTAAGATGTCACTCTTGTTAGGACTTTGCTGTGTCGCGCTTATCTCCCCCCCCCCCCCCCCGCTCCATTTCTGGGTATTGCCAATAAATATTTGCAGTGTGATATGCAAAGTAGAAATGTTGAGTGGGATCTCAGGCTGACGGGGCTGGAGGAGTCCTGTGCTGCCTTCTGGGCCTTGGGGAAGGTGGGGGTGGGCAACTGAACTTTCCTATGACTTTGTCTGAGCATGCTGGCTATTTGCCAAAGACACAAGATATTTTGAACAGGACTTGAGGTTTTAATTTGGCGTGTGATGTTTTTTTTAAAGAAAGAGAAATTAAAAATTAACCTGAAAGCCTCTTAGTTAAAACTTCCTGCTCCCACAAGCCCAGTCCTCCCACACGGCAGCCATGGAGCACCATAGGCGTCTGCACCCTTCAAGGCTCAGGTCTCCGTAGACCTTCACACATGACAGCCCAAAGAATGAGAAGGGAATGGCCATGGATCCTCCTCCAACCTCAAGCAGCTGCTCCTGAGACCTGGGAGGCCCTGCCTTAGGGACAGGCCACCTTGCAATGCTTGGATGGGCCTTGCTCCTGGCAGCCTGAGCCACCCAGTCCCTGCCTCTGTAGTGTATCTGGGCTCTCGGTGGATGGTCTGACGGCTCTCCCGAAGACGGTGGCCCCAAAGCTCTGTAGCTCGTTCCTTGCTCCATGCTCAATGTCCAAGCTTCACTGCTGTGCTTTAAAAATTATGAACAGAAACATATTTAAAGCAATGTTAGTCCCTGTGCATTTTGAGCACTAGGCCCTGCTAAAGTCGTCACCTGTGGAATGTAGTTACATCCTAGCCTCTGGGCCAGGCAGCCACTTGTGGAAGACCCGTTTTTTTCAGATGAAGTTCGGGGGGGGGGGGGGGTTGATGAGGGAGCTTGAATTGTCTTTTTGGTGGCTAGAGATGTGATGGAAAAGGGGAGCTGTGCAGTTGGGGACCTGAGACGGGGACACTTATGGCCAGCCTGGGACCTTCACCCCCCCCAACCTCCGTTAGTCAAAATGCCCCTGGGTGCCCTGCTGGGAAGATAAAAATCAACCACCTCTTTCCCTTGGTTTCTGTTGGTTTCCTCCCAGAAAATCAGAATTGTTTTCCCCTGAGCTTGGCAAATAGTTGCTGGTGAGAAATTTGGGAGGTTGGAGACCATTCAGATGGGTCTCCCCTCTGCTGCCGCTGCACACAGCCCCCAGATCTTGCCTTCATCACTGAGCTCCAAAGGGTGTCAGGAAGTACCTGGCCTCAAAGTTTTGTTGCCATGACAACCTGTCTTTTGGGTTCTGTGATGATTTTATTTTTTTTTTCCTCCAAGAGGGAAAAACATCCCACCAAGGCCCAAGCAAATCCTGCTCTGCTCTCTCTCTCTGATGCTGCAGCCAGGAAAGGCCTGGCTCCCCACCGTGCAGCTGGGTGCACTCTGGTGGGGCTCCAGCTTGGGGATCCACACTGGCTCACTGGATGCTCAGCAGCCCCCCCCCCCCCCCCCCCCCGGCTCCCCAGCACTGCTGCTCTTGTCTCTCTCCTTCTGGGCACCTGTGTGGGGACATCTCCTAAGGCCCTCTTTCCCACAGATGGACACTACAGCCTATCCTGAACAGACAACACAGTCAACAGCCCCTGCACAAAGAGCCCTCTTCTCCTCCCTCCAAGAGAAGGCATGGGCGTCCTTGTGTGCAGTCAGAGGAGAGCAGCTCTGAACAGAGTCTCCAGTCCCTCGCTGCAAATTAGATTTCTTACTGGATCTGATATTTAGAAGAGTTGGGAGGACCGTGGAGGTGGGGCAATGTCCAGGCATGGAACTTATGCTGACTGTTGCTTATGTGATGTGTGGGTCTCTGCCCTGTGTGCATGTGACCCAAGGATAGGAGTATCTCAGGAAACTCAAGGTCATGGCACCAGGGTCCTGCAAGGCTGACTGAGTGGCACTGGGGAGAGGAAAAGGGGTTCACCCTGGGTGGGTAGAAGGTGTGGTCTGAGAGTGATACGGGAGCTTGCAGGCAACCGCAAAGTGGAAGCAGAGACCCTGGACCTGTCGATTTATAGTCCGACTCTAGACTCACTCTGGATGGTGGATGGATGCATCTTCCTCTTGCTGCTGTGTGATTTTGGCCTGAGTCTTTCCTTGCTGCCCTGCAGATGGGGAGGGGAACAGTCTACTCTACCCCAGACACCAGGGTCTAGGGACAGCATGGGGGACTGAAGAGTTCATGTACCAGCCTTGCATCTGCTTCTCTGGCCTGAGCCACTGAACACCATGACCTGAGCTCATGGACATGACCAATCCCTCAGGTCCTTCCCACAGTCCCTGGTGCCCAGGTTCACCAAGGCCCTGGACTACTACACTGCATCTCAGAATGCTGTTCTTGTAGCCCCTGGGTCTACACTTAACTGGAGTGCTTTTCTCCCACATCCACCCAAGACCATTTTCCACGATTTCAGTCTGCTCAGGCACTCCCAACCACCTGACAAAAATGGACCCTACCTTTTTTTTCCTGCATACGCTTTTTTTTTTTCTAGTTCTGACCATCAGCCTTAAGTCCACATTAGTCAGCAGCTCTGGTTCACTCTGTGCCTTGTGAACTCAGGGGTTGATGCCTAGAGTTTTTTTTTTTTTAAAGATTTTTTAAAAATTTTTATTTTAGGTATATGCGTGTTTTGTCTGCATAGATGTCTCTGCACCACATGAGTGCCTGGTGCCTGTGGAGGCCAGAAGAGGGTGTCAGGTCCCCTGGAACTGGAATTACAGATGGTTGTGAGCCACCATGTAGGTGCTGAGAATTGAACCCAGGTCCTTGGTGCTTTTAGCCACTGAGTCATCTCTCCAGCCCCTGAAGTTGATTCTTATGTGTTTTCTGTCACCTCACATGTTGCTTGGGATGGCAGCACACAACAGATGTTCAACAGACTTTGTGTAATGTGTATTAGTCGATGTCACTGGTTCTTGGGATCAGTTCTTTCAGGCCCAAGTTGCTTCTTGCAGGGGTGACCCACACTTTCCAGTACAGGGGCTACCACACACTCCCTGGAGGAGGTATGAGTCAGGACCCTTGTGATGCTCCTTCTGAGAGGTTGCTAGTGCCCAAGAGCGAGTGGGTGTCATGCTAGACAGGCTTTTTTGCTGGGAGTGTGTGAGGAGTAGATTTGGGCTTTGAAAGGCACCGTAGCCCTCAACAAGTGTTACCTCCTTTCATCCCCATAGTAACGGGCTATGGTGACTCCTTCTCCAACTGAGACACTAAGAGGCACAGTGACTTGCCCAAAGCCACCTATCTACAAGTGGCCAAGCTGGGATGTGAACCCAAGCAGAAAGTCCAGTGCATCCCCCCTCCCCCATTGTATGCCTTGAAGCCCCACCTCCCCTTCAGTCAGCCTCCCCAGGCTCCTCCAGCCAGTCTCACTGGGGAGAGCACCACACGGGGAGTCACAAACCCTGGGCTTGAGCCTAGACTCTGCGGCGAGCTTGCTGAGTGGCATTGGAAGTCTCATCCTTTCCTTGTGTCTCTTGCCTTTCCTTTGCTTGGGTATGAAAAGAACATTTGGCCTTGACTTCTGCTGCATGACGCAGGGCCAGAGCACTGTTCTCAAGGCTCCAGGCTTCAGAATCAGTCTTGGTTCTAGTCCCTTCCTCCCCTCTTACCTGCTGTGTGGCCTTAGGTGGGGGTTTGTTTTCTCTGAGCTTTGGTTTCCTCGGCTAGGGCAGGAGGATGGTCCTTGGACTCATGATAGAATCACTGGATTTAGCCAGTGATTTGGGTAAACATCCTTTCTGTGGTCCAACCTGGCATTAGAAGCCATAGGCCAGCAGTAAGGGGCATGTCCAACTTTGGTATCTTGTGGTGTCTTAGCAAGCTGCGAGCATCTGGAAACGGAAGCAGTTCACAGAACCACCGGGTCTTGGGGGGCAGATCTGCATTCACTGGGCCAGGGTCCTACTGGGGTGTCTACAGTTCACCCCATCCACCCTTCTACCGCACTACAGATGAACACGACAGTTTAAGAGCTCAGGCCCCTAACCCTAAAGTCCCACGGAACTTCCCATCATATCTCATGTCAGAACCTCCGGAAGCCTGCCCACTCTTCTGTGGCCAGCTCAGCCTGACCCTGTCCTGGAATACTGACTGAGTCTCTCCTGG